ACGACTTAGTTTAAAGTCGTCTGGGCAGACGACTTGCGAGGGCTAAAAACGTCAAAAAAAAACTCTTTTTTTGTTTGTTCACAAGGGGTTGGTTGTAATTTCAACAGCCTTTTAAGTTACTTTTGCATTTGATTCAAGTTTGGGTTTACTTTTGCATTTCAAATCAAGTTTTGAGTCATATTTGGCAATTTTCCCTTTAATAATTTTATATATAATTTATTATACAACAAAAAATGAATTTATATTAATGATATTATGTTTTTAGAAAATAAGTTAGTTCTTATGTATTAGATTGTTATCTTAAAAATATAATTTTCTATTATAAAATTTAAGTGAATCTGCTGATTGATTTGTATCTTCTCAATGATTTAGATAGTTTTGTTTATTTGCCATGTTTTAAATGAATTCATATATAATTTATTATATAATAAAACGAATTTCTACTAATAATATTATATTTTTTTAAAAATAAGATAATTTTTACATATTATATTGTTATCTTGAAAATATAGTTTTCTATTATAGAAATTAATAATTAATATACAAAAAAATATAATTAAATATAAATTAAGCAATTCTGATTTGTCAACTTCTCCATGATTTAAGGTATGTTTTCTTATTTATCATCTTTTAACAATTTCATATATAATTTATTATATAATAAAAATGATATTATATTGATGATATTATATTTTTAGAAAATAAGAAAATCCTTATGTATTAGATTGTTTTCCTAAAAATATAGTTTTTATTATAAAATTTAAGTGAATTTGCTAATATATAACTTCTCCATGATTTAAATAATTTTGCTTATTTGTTATATTTTTAATAATTTCATATATAATAAAAGAAAATTTCTATTAATAATATTATCTTTTTAGAAAATAAGATACTCCCTCCGTTTCAAATTATATGATGTTTAGATTTTAAGGTTTGTTTTGAGGTTTAAGGTTTGTTTCAAAATATAAGATGTTTTGAGATTTTAAGGTTAACTTTAATTTTATTAGAAACTGTTCACCCAATAAAATTTACAGTCTTTTTATAATTAGTTGAATGATTATAAATTCTATCTTTAAAAGTATATAAATTTATTAATTTGTGTGCATTAACCTAAAATACAATATATTAAAAAAACAGATTGAATACTTCTGATATATTAAATTGTTATCTTGCAAATATTTATGTATTATAGAAACAAAAAATTTTAAGATATAAAAAATTATAACTAATATAAATCAAGCAAAACATTTGTATGAATATACTTTTAAAATTCTACTGTGTAAAGATTGTCATTTATAATTAATTTTTAACATATAAATCATCATTTATTAAATCGTTTTAAATTAATAAAATATAAACTAATAAGTATTCGATAAATATAGTGAAAGGAACAAGCTCTCCAATAAATAGGACAACGAAACGTCGTCTTCTAGTTGGTCTATATATTAATTATTTTCTCCAGGGGATTACAGATTAGAGTTCTTGAAACCTTCTGAAGCTTCCGAATATGGTGATTAAGCATTTCTTCAAGCCTCTTCTTCCTGACTTCCACAGCCACTTGGTACATTCTCTCTTCCCCCTTTTTCTATATATGTCTATGTCTCTCAGAGCATCTCCAAAAAGACTCTCTATTTTAAAGTTTCCAAAACTCTATATTTGAAGTTTCAAGGTGTTCTTCTACAAAAGAAAAACTTCAAATTTAACTTCAAAATTATTTCTATTTTACATTTTGATCCTTATATTTGTCATAGTTAATATAAATTCATAAAACATTGATAAATAACATACACATATATATAAATTATACAACAATATTAATTAATAAAATCTTACATTAAAATATAAAATTATAAATACAAATACATGATTATTACAAATAGAATACCACATTTTGTTGTTTAATTTTAATTTTAAAATATTTTAAAATACTAAACTACAAACAACTATTTTAAAATTTATTATAATTATTTATTTAGTTTTACGTCTAAAATTTAAATTTATAAAAGGTAAAGCTTAATTTGAAATATTTATAAATTTAAAAAGTTTTATGGATTAAAACAATAAACAAAAAAATATTTATGAATTCTAATTTTTATTTGTAATTGTAAGGACCAAAATGCAATAAAAAGATGAAACTTCAAATTTAGAGTTTTGAGTATTGAAACTTCAAATATAGAGTTTCACTCTTAAAAACTTCAAATTTGAAGTTTTGAGGTTTCTTTTTGGAGAGCAAAAAACTTTATATTTGAAGTTATAGAGTTTCTTTTGGAGATGCTCTCAGAGAAGCTAACTTAGAGATGGGGTTTGGTTTTGTAATTGCATGTTGCTTTAGACGATTCCTTTAGCTTTCTTTTCCAAGTATATACAAGGAAGAAATGAGCAGACGAGTGCGAAGCTGAGATCAGACGCGTCAAAGATAACCTGGGAAGTGAAAATAGAAGATGGCCGGAGGAGACTCACTCAAGGTTGGAAAGAGTTCGCTCTTGCGCACGATCTCCGAATCGGCGACATTCTCATTTTCAGACCAGAGAAAGACATGACTTTCCACGTAACACTCTTGGGACCTAGTGGCTGTGAGATTCAGTATGAGTCGTCGTGTTCACAAGAAGAGAACAGCCTCGGTGAGTTACTGTGAATCTCTGGCTGACATTTAAGAATTGTACATATGGAAGTATAGAGAATCAGCTAGACTTATCTCTTCCTTTTCAGAGAATATTCCAAAGAAAAAGAAAGTGAAGAAGAATCCAAGAAAAGAAACGGAGTCTGCTTCACTAGATCCCTCTTGTTGTGTGGCTAAAGTAACGCCTACAAGCCTCCAAGAGGACAGACTGGTAACTTCTCCTAATTTGAGCCAAATACACTCATTATAGTGTCTGGATTTGACCAAAACCAAGTTCTGTCTATTATAATGAATTTTCAGAATCTTCCAAGGAGTTTTGTGAGGGCAAATGGTCTAGAGACAAGAAGTGGAGATATTGTTCTTATTAATGAAAAGGGCACATCATGGAAGCTAAATCTGAAAAGAAAGAGTTCATGTGGAACTATATATATCACACGAGGTTGGAGACGCTTCTGTAAGGTCACTAGACTTAGAGCTGGAAGTTTCTTCACTTTCAAACTGATCCAAAGAGGAGGGACTTTGGTTCTACGTGTGTCTTCACAGTTCCAAAACAAATTTGTGACATTAACTCTTAAGCCTTTCAATCTCACAAATTATACACTGGTTAGTGTCTATCACTCCAAGCCATTGGTGTTTTGACATTCTGTTGAATCTTGAATCATTTATTTGATTCTTTGTTGCAGTATCTTCCCTTGCACTTCACCAGGATGCATGGCATCAGTGAGGAAACTAAAATGGCTATGTTGGACAAAAACGGTGTCAAGTGGTCTACGAATCTGCGGTCTGGGAAAACTAGTGATAAAATGAGATTGGTAGGCGGTTGGCAAGAGTTCTTTGAAGCTAACTGTGTGGAGGTAGGTTAACCGATCATTTTGAAGCTGATATGGGAAGGAAACAAAAGTTGTGTCCTTAAGTTCTGGTCTAAGGTGAAGCAAGACACCAAATGAAACTGTGTCTGAGTGTAATGTTTAAGCTTTTTCTAAGTCACCACTGCAACAAGACAAATTAACTGAATCAAGTGTTTGTGTTTTCGTTATATGTGAGATTTGTAATCATTGGCTTTAACTCAAGAAGTCCAATTGCCTACTTTGAGATTTGTGAATGTTAGACTAACTTAGTTCAAAATGTTATCGGTTTAATTTTATATAATTTGAGATACTTTTAGTTGGTAAAATTAGGAAAAACTAAAGTGTTGATAAGTTCGAATTTACTTTATAGAAGAGACATACATGAATATGACAAGCAGAGAGAAATGAGGTAAGTCTTGGAGGGTGAGACTAAGATTGGGGTTTATAATCAAACCTAAAATCTTAACCAGTCCAAACCAAAAAACTGGAACCTGATCAAAACTGTTATAAAAAATTATCCGAATGGAGAGTTAAGTACTTTTGGATTCATGTACAACTTGAACCAAAACACTGGAATCTGATCAAAACTGTTATAAAAAATTATCCGAATGGAGAGTTAAGTACTTCCGGATTCATGTACAACTTGAACCGAACGAAACCAAATTTTGAACTATCATATGAAAATATTTGAAATTAGTTAAATGTATTAATCTACATATATATATATATAAAACGTAGTTTAATTAATATTTTAGAATATTTCTAAATTTTTTTATTTTATATTTCGATCTATTTTGTTATTTCAACTACCTTTTGACTAGTTTTAATCAGATTTTTTTAAATAATTTATATATTCTGAATATTTTGATTAAATTCACTAGTTTTTTTTAAGTTTGGTGATTTCAGATATTTGTTATAATTTGATCCGAACTGAATCTTGAAAAAACTAAAACAGATCCGACCCAAAAATTAGTAAACTTGAACAGAACTTATGGAAATATAAACGAAATTTGTAATAACCTAACCGACCCCGAACGAACGGGGTACCAAACGTCTAGGCCTAGGCCAGATGGAACTGTTGCTTTGGAAAGTGATTGAGATGAATTTTGTGAAGCGAAATGGCCTAAAATTAGGAGAATCTTTCACTTTAGAGTTCACTAATGAACATGACAAAGCACCTCATGTACTTAAGTTATGTTCTCGAAAGACTAATAAATGCAAATATGTTAGAAACAGAAATCTGTAAATTGAGAGACCAAGGCTGAGAGAAAGGAAGTAGGTCTACAATAAATAAGAGTATTAAAAGAACCAACCAAAAAGAAAGAAGCTCTACAATAAATGATCCTTGTCTTCAAGTTGGTTTATTACACTATTTTACAGAATTCGAAAGACTCAGAGCTTCTGAAGTTTATGAGAATGGTGAATAAACGTTTCTTCAAGCCTCTTCTTCCTGGCTTCCACAGCTACTTGGTACTTTCTCTCTTTCTCTTTTTTTTTTTTATATTTCTGTCTATGTAAGCTACTAACTGAGAGATGTGTTTGGTTTTGTATTTGCATGTTGCTTCAGACAATTCCTGTGGCTTTCTTTTCCAAGTATATACAAGGCAAAAATGAGCACCATACGGCGAAGCTAAGATCAGACGCGTCAATGATAACCTGGGAAGTGAAGATAGAAGATGGTCAGAAACTCACTGAAGGTTGGAAAGAGTTTGCTCTTGCACACGATCTTCGTATCGGTGACATTCTCATTTTCAGACAAGAGAAAGACATGGCTTTCCACGTAACACTCTTGGGACCCAGCAGCTGTGAGATTCAGTATGAGTCGTGTTCAGAAGAAGAGAACAACCTAGGTGAGTTGTGTTCTGTCTCTGTCTAACTAGTTAAGTTTAAACTGTAATATGCATGTGGAAGTAGAAAGAATCAGTTTAACTATTTGCATGTGAGATGTATTCTTTTCTTTTCGTTTCAGGGAAGATTCCAAAACAGAAGAATTCAAAAAGAGAAGCTGAATCTTCTTCACTAGATCCCTCTTGTTTTTTAGCTAACATCTGGCCTTCGTCCCTACGCTATGACACATTGGTATATACTCTACTTTTCATTTGAACAAGCGAGAAAACATATACTAAGATCTGATATATATATCAAAAAGTCATGTTGTATTGTAATGTATTTTCAGAACCTTCCAAAAAGTTTTGTGAGGGCAAATGGTCTAGAGACAAGGTGTGGAGGAGAGATTGTTCTGATGAATGAAAAGGGTAAGTCATGGACTTTAGCTTTAAAACAAAAGCTAAGTGGACCTACTTACATTAGAAGAGGGTGGAGAAGTTTCTGTAATGCCAATGGTCTTAAAACTGGAGGTTTCTACACTTTTAAACTAATCCAGAGTGGGAGAACTCCGGTTCTCCGTTTGTCCTCCACAGAGACAGAGTCAGAAGAGAGAAACTTCGGTGAGTTGTGTTCTTTCTCATATACTAATGGTGCTTGTTTTGGAACATGGAACTGTAAATAGAAAGAACCAGTTTGACTGTTACATTACCACTTGAATTGTTTTGTTTTTCAGAGAAGATTCAGAGGAAGGAAGCAGAGCCTTCTTCACAAGAGCCCTCTTGTTTTGTGGCTAATATCTCGCGTGCAAACCTATGTTATGACACACTGGTATTCTTCCACTCTTAATTTTGAATGAATAATATAATACCATGGTGTGAATTAGATAAAACTCATGTATTATTAGTTTATTATTATAAATGAATTTTCAGTATCTTCCAAAGAAATTTTCAAGGGAAAATGGTCTAGAGACAAGATGTGGGGAGATTGTTCTAATGAATGAAAAGGGTACTTCATGGAAGCTAAAGCTGAAACGAAAGAGTTCATGTGGAACTATGTACATCACACAAGGGTGGAGAAGTTTCTGTAGGATCAATGGACTTAGAGCTGGAAGTTCTATCACTTTCAAACTGATCCAAAGAGGAGGAACTCTGGTTCTACATTTGTCTCCTAAAGAGACAGAAGAAGAACAAGAATGCTCACCAAAAGCTAATGAAGTGGAGTCTCTACCCACAGAAGAAGAAAGCGACGAAGAGAGCAGCCAAGATGAGAAAAAAATCAAGAAACATAGATCGACATGGAAAGCTTCAACTTCGCAATTCCAAAACCAATTTGTGGCACTAACTCTTAGACCTTTTAATCTTAAAAAGTATTTACTGGTAAGTGTCATCACTTGAAGCCCTTTGTCGTTTTTTACTTTCTGTTCAGTCCTGAATCCTTTATTTGAATCTTTGTTGCAGTTTCTTCCAATACCTTTCACCAGGAGGCACGGCATAAATGAGGAAACTAAGATGACACTGCTGGACAAAAATGGTGTCAAGTGGTCTACGGATCTGCGGTCTGAGAGAACTAGTAGAAAAATAAGATTGGTAGGAGGTTGGCAAGAGTTTTTCAAAGCTAACTGTGTGAAGACAGGTGAATCGATCATCGTGAAACTGATATGGGAAGGAGACAAAAGTTGTGTCCTCAAGTTCTGCTCTAAGGTGAAGAAAGAGACCAAATGAAAGTGTATGTGAGTACTATGTAGTGTGTATCTGAGTACTACGTTTTAGTTTTTTAAATTGCCCAAGATGAATCATCGTTTGGCCTTCTCTGTAGTTTTGATTTGTGAATGTTATTTTAACTTCTTAGTAGAAAAACTCAGACATCTCACACAATTAAAAACACCAAAGAGAGCCACTAAAGAAACATCTTTGTGTTTTGAAGACAAGTCTAAAGCCTTCCTTTAGAAAGTAGAGAAAAAGGAAGTCTAAATAAAGACTTCTTTTCTCTCTACTTTCTTCTTGCACAATAAAGCTCTTTGAACTATGTCTTTTATCACTTTCGTTTATGTTCCGGTAAGCTCCTTAAGCATTCAATCTCTGTTATCTGAGATTGTTATCACTTATCAGTAACTATTATAGTCTGTTTAGCATCAACTTTTGGACCTAAATTCAAGTAAGAAATATAATTTGATAGTAGCTTTAACAATCACGAACGTGATTGGAAGGTAGGGTGTATTATATTTATCACCGTTGGAAGCATGCAGAGATTCAAGTTACACACGAGACTCCAATATAGTAGCTTCAGTTTAAACGCTTGAATATGAGTTGGATGGCATATAAGCAGGACCAGCTGAGAGGGAAGAAAAAGGGTGCGACTGTTCTGGGTCAAGTCCATGTCCCCTATATCTTATCAACTAAAAAGTCCAATATTTTTTATATTTACATATTTTGTATTAAAATATTCACTAGCTTACGTTGAAAAGGAACCCAAAAATACTTTAGAGTGATTTAACTAGGGCTGGGACTTATTATCCGGGATTCGGATTCGATCCGAGATCCGCTCCGGATCCGCTCCGAAAATAGGATATCCGGGATGGCCGGATCCGAATCCGGATAGTAAAATCTCGGATCCGTCCAAATCGAATCTGAATCCGGATATCTTAATTTTTAGGTCCGGATATCCGGATCCGGATCCGTATTTTTAAAATATATTAAATTTTTTATTTTCTTATCAATTATATCTGATAATATTAATATTTATACATAAAATAATTTTTCTTACATTCTATTTTAATATTTATAATATTATATGTCATTTTTTATTCATAAATTTTGCATAAATATTTAAATATGTATTATTTTTAGAATTTTTTGATATTTTTAAAACGATTTTTGAATTTTTTATAATATTTTGATTTTTTTAATTATTTTTACGGATCCGAATCCGAATCCGGATATCCGCGGATATCACAATATCTGGACGGATATCCGAAGTCCGGATATCCGGAAGAAGCGAATCCGGATCCGGATACTAAAATCACGGATCCGACGAATCCGGATACTTCAATTTACCCCGGATATCCGGATCCGCCCCACCCCTAGATTTAACTCAAAATACCAAAAGAAGTAGATATTTTAGAATTTGCCATATTTTAAGGAGAAAAATTAGTGATGGGGGAAGGAAAGAGAAGAGAGAAATATGATATAGAACTAAATAAAAGGTTTTATGTGTGTATGGAATGCAAATACTCAATATTTTATGTGTATAATATTTTCATACTAAATTTATAAAGATCAATGATAGAAAATTAAAATATATTTAAAATTTTTAGTAAAGATAAATATTAAGAATTTCATATTTTTGGGCAATTTTGTTTTGCCCAGGGCAAAAAGAATGTTGAGCCGACCTGCATATTAGAACCAATACCATAAGTCTTCTGATGCCTCAGAAGATTCACCAAAACGAAGTGATAATCCACCATTGTTAGACTCGCAATAAAGTAATGATAGCTGGTTGCAACATTTATATGAACACATACTTTGGCAAGGATTATAATAACAGACTCTGCCAACAATCTATTTCACTCTTTACATACAATCTATAGAAAAAAAGCTAATAGGATCTCTGACTGTAATGTCAAAAAGACAAAAGCTTGATGAAGTCAATCCATAGGAAAACAATGTAACTGGACTGGAATAGATTTCCTGCTTGACTGTGTTCAAATCACCAATCATTTCAAAATAAAAAGGATCAAAAGAATCCATAGCGAATCTCAAGAACCCTTTCAAAGGGATACAACTTGATGGTCAATAGAAAATCTTAGGAAACACAACAAGGACATCTGATAACCAAAGTGATAAACAACATTCTTCCGGTACAATCATATTCATTCTCGAATAAAAAGCAAAGAACTTTCCATATCATTTTTCCCAAGACACGCTCAATACTGCAAGGATCAAGATAAACAATTACGGAGAAAAATTTTGCTCTGTCACATGAGAAAACCGACAAGTTAGATACAAAACAAAATAACAAAACTGAAAGTAGTAAAAGGGGATCATCAGATAGGAGCGAAAGACTATTGCTACAGTTATGTAATCATGTAGATTATATCATCTGAACTATGCGTTATTATTCCTCACTTGACCCCTTTTCGTAATTAAAACAAAAACAATGCAGGAAGTTAATAGATAAGCCTCATTGATTAGGTTATCAACACGGATTAATTTAGACATATGCTTGTCTTAATCGATTTAATCATCGGCTCAACAACAAACAGAACAATAAAAACAACAGAACTCAGAATATGTAATGGTCGGCAAATAGGCTTTTTTACGGCCGATATTAAGACGAACGAGACCTTTTAAGATCAATCCTCATTGTCCTCTAAAAACTAAAATCAAATTCACAATTAAGAAAAAAACAAAACAAAATCTTTTGGGAAGAAATCTCAGTGAAGCCAGCGTTTTTCACATCAAAGTAATTAAAACTCAGACGGTAATTCCATATTCTTGCAATAATCATCATCGATTTGTTCCCAATCATCAGCTTTTAAATAAAATTTTGTTAAAAAAAAAATGTAATCGCCGAAATGGCTCCGTAGATCACAAGAGAATCAAGATCCACAGGTTCCTATCAGTGAAGCGAAACACAAACATCTGTTTATGTCCAATGTAGCATTGACGATCACAGCCAATTAAAAGCTATCGTCAACGTGGCATCGGACAATTTGTATACGAAGAACATACGGAAACCCGTTTCAAATCAATCACAAAGGAGGGGATACATAAACAGTGGTAAAGATAACAACCCAAAGCGCAAACAGATAAGGGACACGATCCTAGTACGGTTATCATGGAAGAAACTGAACCGAGGATAGAGAAATCAAACCGAATGAAATTCTCCTTCACACCGCCGCTGCGAGTATGACGATAATATTAGAGAAGATGTTAAAGAAAGAAGAGAAACTCGATTTATATATAGAGGGTATGATGCGGCATAACACAAACAAAACCCTAATACAGAGCTCAGTTTAGCTTAATAGATTCCGTGTCGGTTTGTTATGAACCGGTTTTCAATCGGTTCAGTCTATGCTCTGTTAAAGTTAACGAAATAATTCTATAAACTTAAGAAGTACTATTTAAACTTAAAAAACAACATTATATAAACTTTAAAATAAATTTATTCTAGTATAGTTATTCTTAAAAATAATTTAAAAAATTTGTAAAAAAATATTTAAATAAGTGAAAAATTGAAATCATGTTATTAACACAAGTTTTAAGAGATATAAATTAAGATAGAACAAAATTTAATTATTTTTATCATAGATGAGTGAAAGTAGTGAGTCATGATATTCTTTAGTTTAGGGTTTGCCAACATATGTTGTAGTATTGTATGTGTTTCTTAGGGTTAGATTTTCGAAAGCTTAAATGTTTTTTGAAAAATTTAAAATTTACCTAAGTGTGTTTATTTATGTGTATAGTAAACACTATTTAAGTATAATTTGATTTTATAACGTGGTTATTTAGTTAATTTAGTCAATTTAGTTTAGGGTTTAGGGTCTGGACGACTGAAATATCAGTCGTTTGGTAAATAATTTTACACAGATGACTTATTCCCGCCTAAATTTTTAAAAAATTATTTTCCGCTTGAATAATTTAAACCAGACAACTTACTTGTAAGTCTTCTGGCTGGAAGACTTACTTGTAAGTCATCTACAAAGTCTTCTATTTTAGTTTCCCGCTAGAAATATTTTAGTTTCCCGCTAAAATTATTAAAGTCTCCTGGACGACTTACATTTCAGTCATATGAATCGAAAATTAATTAATTTTTTTGTTTCCCAATATAAAGAAAAATTTACACATTCTCTCTCCTCCTCTCAAATGTCTGCAACAAAAATGTAATGTTCATCTTTCTAGAACTCTCTAACCTCTCTATAATCTTTTTGAACTTATAAACACCAAACTTTATATTAATTTATTGTTTTGTGTCATGTCTTTCTCATTAATTTATCTTTTTTGTAGGTTTTTCATCACATGATTCTCATATTCCACTCATTTAAAGATAGATCTATTAACTTTATATGAATTTTTCTGTTTTGTCTCATGTTTTTCTCACTAATCTATCTTTTTTTGCAGATTTTTAATCAAATGGTTCTAATCTTCATTTGGATATGTATGTTGTGAGTTCTATAAAAGTATATATATCTAATCTTTCACTCATTTTATGTGTGTTTTAAACCATTTGAATGTTTTTTGATATGCAGGTTTTTCAGATCTGGGCTTGAAATGCAGGTTTTTCAGATCTGAAAGACTTCTGGGACGACTTACGTGTAAGTCATCTGGAATTCTTGTAAGTCATCAGGAATTCCTGTAAGTCGTCTGGAAGTTGTCTGGACTGCCTGAAAGTCTTCTGACGCTGTCTTCTTTCATATCAAGTGGAGTCCAAGCTTGTCTTTGTAAAGAAATGATCTATTATAGTTTTCTAAAATCAGTTCCCAAGATGTAATATATGTGTTAACAATGTGTTTACACATTTACAAATCAATGAAATAATAGACTTCAATAGCTTTTTTCATCTTTTGGATCTCCCATATGCAATAATAGATCACAATGGCCTTCTGTTCATCTTAATAAACAAGAATGTTGGTAGCCTTGTATTGATACAACATTTTAAGAAGCATTTTAACCTTTCTTCCAACAAATCATCATTGGTGTTAAAGCATATTACATGTTTTACA